TGACTCAATGCTTGGGGGCTACAACTATCTGGAAGTGTCATCATATGTCTAATTGGTGATGGGTGTTGACTGTTGGCAAGAGCACCCACACAGACTTCTTCCTGCAGAAGTTTCTTCTGCATGAGCTAGTTTGACCTCATATCATGGCAGCTGTGTTCCAAGAGTGAGTAACCCAGAGATGCAAAGTAGAAAGTGATTTTTTTTCTCAGGTGGCCTCATAAATCTTGTGTCATCACTTTCATTAAACTCTCTTGGTTGAAGCAGTCACAAAATTTTACTGAGGTTCAAGAGGGCATAGAGCACACTGCAATAGTGAAAAGTGTCAGTGTTATATAGTAATTTGTAATGGGACACATTTTTTGCATATAGATATTGCATTATGTATTTATCAAGTAGTGTATTTGTATCTCTATACTATAGCTCTAGTTTTTAATCTCTTAGCAATGAGTTTGGGTCTTTCTCTATCTCTTCTATCTTCAATTTGAATACTTATTTAAATTGATGTCAGTGCCTTAGCCAAAGATGATAGAAAACTTCATCCTATACTTGGGCTGAACCTAGTTTATTGCATTTTGAAATGAGGGTTTTAGAGAAATTGGGGCAGGGAATCATAGGAGAGCATTTGATGAACCATGAGAAGTTAAACTTCCTTTTTTTCTGATTTGTTCTCAAAAGCCAAATCAAGCCAATATATAATGTTTAGTATAGAACAAAATGTGTACAGCCTTTATCATTCAGCAGGGCATGTTTTATGTCTACTTCCACTACTTTGGATAGCTGGCCATAAAAGGAAAAGGCTTCTCTCGACAAATTGTTGATCCATCCTGATAGATATATTTTTTTTTCTTTCTAATGAAGGAGCAGCATGGACCATACTTGTCTGTCTTATAATTTATTAAAGGTTGAAAGGAATCACTAATAACCTTTCAACCCTGATATTTGCTATGAAATCCTCTTGACTTGTGTCCTTAAAGAACTGGAAAGATTTTAACCAGCTCCCTCAATATTTTCAAAGGCTTAACATGGTGTTATGGCTCGTTTCTAGACGTCCCCCCAAAGCCTCATGTGTAAGGCTTTTCAAAAGTGGCTGGATCTAGAATGTATCATTCTGGGATTGATTCATGGTGAAATACTAGGATTAAGGGTGTGAGTACTACCTGCCCTAATGGTGGGTAGCCTGGATAAAACATAAGGGACAGAAAGAGGCTTGTTGATTGTCACTTGCTTGCTTTTGCAATCTACTGCCTGCCACGAACTGTTTCTCCTCTCCGATGCCCCTCTGCCATGCCTCTCTACCTTGGAGCTAGCCAATTATGAAATGAAACCTCTACAAACTGTAAGCTAAATAAGCCTTCCCTCCTTTAACTTTTGGTGTCAGATATTTTGTCTCAGCAATGAGAAAAGTAACTACAACATACGGCCACCCACCTCAAACAAAACCACGTGATAAAGTCTTTACTTTTCAAAATCTTATTTCAAGTTATAATCTCTGATTGTCTTGTTATTATGTAATCACATATGACAGACACAATTAGAACTGGTTTAAGTGAGTTGGTTTTTTTATTGGCTCCATGTGACAATGAGAGAAGAAGGGATCACAGTATTGAAAAGAGATTCAAACATCATTAGGATTAACAGTCTCCCTGGAACAGCTGTTTTATGTCATGGCTGCAGAAAATTTAGGTCTCATCTTCAATAACCAGTCAAAGAGGTTTCTTCTTTACAAATTCAAGCTTGAAAAACCATAGGAATGATCTCTGATCAACCGTGTTTTCTCATTAAACTGAAGACTCATATTATGTTATTATTCACTTCTGACCTTGATAATCTTAAGGCAAATATGACAAAATACTCATCTTCTACTATAAGAACAAAATCTTTTTCTTTGTTTTGATTGATAAAATCCCATACTATTGTACCACAGTATACTAAGATTTATTTTAACCTAAATACAGAGTGCAAAATACATTTTTTTCCTCATTGAGTTTATTGGTACTTTTTAAGTATACAGTACAGTTACATTTATCATTTAGAGCTTGTACCTTTACATGACAAGTCTTGGTTCTCATTTTTCCCCATACCCCTACCCACCCTTTACCGCCTCTACCCTTCCCTATTTACAATACTTTGTTTCCATTTTTTCCTTTTCTCATATTTTTTCTTTTCCCTTCTTTCCTTTCCCCTACCCTTCCCACTTCCCCTACACCTTTAGCCCTTTTCTTCCTATTTCACATTGTCAGTTATACAATTTGGATCTTATTTACACTTTTAGTTTTTCACACCAGAGAAATTTGAATTACTGAATTAATTTAGACTTTACCTAAAAAGTATAAAGATATGGTCCATTTCTTCCACAAGTAAATATTAAATATTAATAATATTTAGTATATTTTTGGCAGACAAAGAATGTGTGACATGAAAGTAGGATTTTAAAATAAAATTATGAGACATTATAGCATTGAGCTTATTGAAGTAGTTGGCTAGGAATCCCTGTGTGTTTTGAGATAAAATATTTCCTTGTGGGCAAGTACAGTGAGTGTTGAGTTATATTTGTGGAATGATTGTCTGTGACAACCTGCTCCCAGAGAAAAAATACCTTTTAGAAATAAGTAATGAGGAGTTTTGAAAGTTTTTTCAGTAGTTAAAATATCTATGGAAATCTTCTATGAATAAATAACCATGAGAACAGTGAAAATTTAAACAAATTTTAGTAAGTCTTACATTGTTTTACCTGCTGTAGAGATTATTTTCTGAACAATGTAATAATGATTTTTCTAGTAGGATAATGGTACAAGGTTTAAATACAAAAAAAGGGAAGTTGGCATGATTAGATAGTGTACCATCTGATATTTCTTAAGACTAGAAGCAAATTTTTAAATTCTATGTTAATGATAGCACAGAACATTTTCTTAATGGAGTATTACGATGTACTAATAGTAAAATAAGTAATTTAATTTGCTAGTAACATTTTTAATCTGTTAAATTATCATTTAATGGATTTTCTAACTTTAAAAACTTACAAAGCTGGATGTGGTGGCGCATGCCTGCAGTCTCAGCACTCACAAGGCTGAGGCAGAAGGACCACTATGAGTTCAAGACCAGCCTGGGCTACATAGTGAGTTCCAGGTCAGTCTCAACTACATAGTGAGACCCTGTCTCAAAAAACCAAAACAAAACAAAGCAAAACACCAAAAACAAAACAAAACAAAAACAAAAACAAAAAGACTTATAAGACATCTCATTTTTCAAACTGTTTTCCTTGGGTGTACCAATTCCTTGGAGCTCAATATGTTACTGCTAGTGGAAATGTACTTTTCAGATTGCCTCTTCACTGTAATATAAATATGAGTCTCTGGAAAGCCTCACTGTGAACAAAAGCTACTAATTTGTTTTTCATAAGTTGAATCAGTCCTAAAAAGGGATGGCACCAGCCTAGTGGTGACTATTTTAGTGTAGCTCTTACTGAGATAGTTGGATAAGAAGGAAAATCAATTATAGTTCTAAAAGAGATGTAGATTCTGTTCACTTAAAACTCAGACCTTTAATCCCTGGATAAAAACCCAGCTTGGAACAAATCTGTAAAACATAACTTGCTTTTATCGTAAGAGGATGTAGCAATTTCAGAATCCCAACATTTAAACACATGGATTATGCAAAATAATGATGTGACATGTCAAATAAGGCCAACATGTTCCTTTTGGATCTGTGAAAAGTAAATTATGCAACAGATTTTCCATCATATTTCTTCTGTTTTTGATAGGTCACAGAAGCTATATTAGTATTCATATGCACACAGGAGAATCTAAGAGTACTGAAGGCAAAATCATTAATTTTATTTATTTATTTTTTTTGCTTTGGGTTAAGATTTAGCATATGTATAACTCTCCAAAATAAAGCCCTACACATCTGGTCAAAAAAAAAAGTATATATACACAATTATTTTATCCCATGGATTCTGTCTTTGTAATTAATAGCAAATAAACTGCTAATTTCATGTTGCATTTTTTTTGGCCACAACAAGCGACTAGTTTGAATTCATTCAAGTTAATTCCACTCAATTCATTTCTTATTGAGAACTTATTCCTTTTCCAGTCAATATGGTAAATAGCTCATGGATGTAAGCCTCTCTCTTTTCTTTCAAGTACTACTTGAGCAGGAACAGAACATGTAAGAATTAGGACAGAGCTAAATTGAAATTCAGTTATCTGATTAATATAAGTTGTAAGTAATACATAGTAAGTGCTATAGTCATAAGAATAAGATATATAAGCATGTTACATCAGCTCTACTCAAAACACTGGAAGTAAAGTTCTCATTATTAGGGGAGAAGACAGATTACATTTATACTTACAACATTGGAATTCAACACTTAATACAGCTCTAGTGTCACCATTGATAAATATTATACCTAATTTGGGGTTGAGGTACCTAGGTAGCTCCACTTAGAAGAAAGTTCCATCTATTCCTCATACCACACACCAATATAAACTCAAAGATTTATATGGTATTATGTAAGCACTAGAAGGAAGCATAAGGGAACCTCTGTAAAATTAGATTAGGGAAGTCTTTTCTAACTTTGAAAATTCAGAAGCTATTCTAAAACTGGAAAAATTGTTTACATTAAGATATTTTTTTTTTTGCTGAAATGAAGGAGACCAAAAGATGGAGAGATGTGGGAGGGCAGCAAGGGGAATTGGATGAAGTTAGAATTAAAATGTGTTATATAAAATTACCAACTCCCCATGATAAATATAATTATGTACTACAAACATGTAGTAATAAAAATAAATAAAAAAAACAAAAAAATAAATAATCTTTGTAAAAACAAACAAAACAGAAGAATGCCAAAACACAAATCACAAATCAGAAGGATAAATAATTAATATACTAGGAATTTTAAAAAATATCAATGTTCAAGAAAAAAATTCAAGAAGGACATGAAAAACTGGTTCTCAGAAGAGATAAACATCTATGAACATAATACTTTTTTTCTTTCATAGGAAAATTTCATATCAAACTACAATGAGTTACATTTTTCACCTCTTGGATTGCCAAAATTCTAAATTTAGTAAAGCTGAGGTTTCAGTGGTAAGTATCTTTTATGAAGGGTAGTTGGTAAATTTCTATAAAATTTCAAGTGTATTTCACCTTTGAGTCATACATATACATGCAGATATACATGCATACATGAGAAGTGGCATATATTACTGTGTGCAATGATGTATTCAGGATTAGAAAATATCCAAGTGTCCCTTGATAGAGACCTAGTCCTAGCAGCTATAGTAGATGCACATCATGGTGTGTTACACGTTTACAAAAAAGAATAGGAAAGTACTGTGTATAAGGGTGTGTACAGATCTATATGTGATAGGATAGGTACTTTTTAAATGGAGAATATAAGAATACAGTTGTGTTTGTTTACACTGGAAAGAAACGAATAAGAATCATTACCTAAGGGGAAGATGCAGAGAAAAACATAGGATGGATGAAACAGGCCAGACAAGCTTTTCAATTTGTAGCATATTCTTTTGAATTGTTATGATTTTATGAATTGTATATATAGTACCTACTCAAATTAACTACTAACATGATAATTTGATGTTCCTTGATGATAAGAACAAAATACTATACAAGAATAAATACATCGTGATTACTTTTATGTGAAGTTAAAAAGCAGGCAAAATATGACAGTTTTTTATTTCCGGATATATAATGGTTGATAGGTACTCTAGAGAATGATTAACAAAATTCAGAGTAGTCTCAGGAGGACTGGCATGTAGAAAACACAGAAAAAAAAAAGTAAAAGAAATCAATGAGAGAATATAGGCAAGTAAAACTCCCCAGAAGAGGGAATAAATTGGTTCTTGAAAAGACTGAATTCCAGTAAATGTAGTTCATACTCATAATTGTTTTATATTTACAAAGTATGACATATATAATGTCACGTTGCATTTAGATGGGCAGAGAGAGATAAGATCAGGTATTCAAAAGAAGAGAAGTACCCATTCTATGACACTAAAATTAATATAAATAATTCTACAGTATTCCTATTTAGTTACTGATGGGTCATAATTTTGTTTAAAGGTTTTTTTTTTTTTTTTTTTTTTTCATTCCAGGGATCAAACTCAGGTCTTTGTGCTTGCAAGGCAGTCAGCAGAACCACTGAGCTAAATCCCCAGCTAAACTTTGATAAAATAGCTTTAGGAGCACCTAGTTTGGAATATGAGTGATGTAAAATACACATACAAACACTCACATTCTTTGATAACTGATTGATTTAGAAAGCCGTGCTTGTTTTCTATTGCTGGTATAAATTACTCCGACTTTGCTGACTTAAATAAATATAGGTGTATTATATTGCAATTCAGTAGGTGAGGTGTACTACGGGAGTTTCACTGGGTTAAAAGTCCATGTGTCAGCTGAATGAATTCCTTTCTGGAGGGCCTGGGGATGAGTTTTTTCTTTCCTTTTCTTTTCCTGTTTCTACAGAGTGCCTGAATGTTTTAGTTTTAGGTATCCCTTGCTCTGTCTCCAAAGTCAGCAGTTTACCATCTTTCTGACCTTACTTCTGTCATTATCTCTAACCACAGCTGGAATGGTTCTTGGCTTTACTTGAGTAATGTTGAGGTTGGACCCACTTGGATAATCCAGGATAATCTCCACGTGAAGGTCCTTAACCATAATCATATCCAAAAATCTCCCTTTTTTTTCACGTGAGGTTAACATTCACAAGTGCTGAGGATTAGAACATGTATATCTGGGAAGAGGGTGCATAATTCTGTCAATCACAGTAGAGATAATCAGTGAATCCTAAAATCATTAAGTAGATTATATGCAGGTTCTAAAGGTGAAGGTATAACTCTAAGACACTTCATCTCTCTTTAAACCAAGTAATCACACTTTCCATCACTAACAGTGGGAAACCACACATTATGTGCCTTTCAGTATGAGCCATGGGGCCAGGGATTTAGCTCAGTGGTTTGGTGGCCTGCCTCACAAGTGCAAGGACCTGAGTTCGATCCCTGGTACCAAAAAAAAAAAAAAAAAAAAAAAAAAAATCAATATGAGCCATGGTGATAGGTACAGCATTACCTCTGAAGTATTCTTGTTAAAAGTGTCTAAGATGAATCTAATTCAGCCTATAGTTTTAAGCTCTCTTTTATGAGAAATACAAAATACAGGTGATAAGATAACAAGTAAATGAGCAGACATGTCATGGGTATGTAGCATTCTTCCAAAAAACTTGTCTTGTCTCTTTGACAAGCATTTGACATGGAGGAAAAGGAAAAAAAAATAGTCTGTATTCTTTTTTGGTACTTGATTTAAAAATTTAACAAAATAAAACCTGTGAAACATATTTTGGAGAAAAGCATTGATATTTAAATATGGTTGGTGAAGGGAGCGCAGGGACAAGGGGAAAAAATGAGAACCAAGACCTGTCATGTAAAGGTACAAGATCCCAATAATGAATGTAACTGTACTGTATACCTAGAATGTAACAATAAACTCAATTAAAAATAAATAAATATGGTTGGAAGTAAATGATATGGTTAAGTTTTCCAAGTTTTCTAGGTATACAGCAGTACTGTGATTATATAGGAAAATGGTCTTATTTTCTGAAAGTATATGCTAACAGAAGATATATATCATAATATTTATCACTTGTTTGTAATGGCTCAGAACTATTGTGTATATGGCAAAATATTAAGGTATGGGTATCTGGGTGACATTGTGATATTTTACTTTTCAGTATTACCAGACATTTTCATGTTAAGATGTAACATAAAAGTGCATATTCAAGTGTATGTAAGTGATTTAAGACAAAGTTAACATTACAGAGAGAATGCTTTCTGCAGTTTAGAGGAAGGAAAAAGTTTGAGGAACAAATATTTGTTAACTTCATCCAGCCTAGCCTTCTTTTTCTTATTCTTTCTTTTAAATTCATTTTTCTTATCTTTTGAAAGTAGAAAGATAGTTTCTAGACTCATAAAATAGTCACTGGAGTAGGATGTGATGTTTAGAAAATCAATGTTCTAAGTGCCTGATGCAGCCTGAAACATGGCCAATATTTGTTTTAAAGAAAAAAGTTTATTCAAAATCTATATGTTTTCAGCTATCAACAAATATTTGGGGGCTCACTAAATCTTATACATGCTGTACCTTAGGTTCTAGTGTGTCCCAGGCAGACAACCAGTCCCAATTATTAAGATAGATGAGTACATCTTATGTATTTATGTTGTGGCTGAGAGTGTAGCTCAGCGGGAGGTCTTGCCTGGTACACTTAACAAGGACCTGGGTTTGACCCCAGAATATCAACCAAACAAAATAATCAAAAACACACAATGAAAACAAAAACACTTACTATGTGACATCATTGCCAATGCAGGACACTACCTGGAGGTCAGTAAACCTGAAGCTCAGATGAGGACAAGTCACTAATCTGAACTTCAAGAAGTCAAGAGTGTCAGACATCCAATAAACAACTACTGTCACTGGGGCACCTTGTGCCTTTGTTAAGGTCTTTCAGGCATTAAGAATTTGTTGGAGACCCCTGGTGGCAATATAAAGAAAAACAACTCACCACATAATTGCGGTCTAGTAAGGAAAGTATGATAAATGGAAGTTGAAGCCACCCCATTTGAGTCTCCTTTTACTTCACTGACCTTCCCATTCCATTACTCTTCTTCCCTTTAAAGGCCTTGTTTTTTTCTTAAAAGGTCTTCCATGGTGAATTATTATTTTTATTCATATGCTCTTCTTGAATGATCATACCTATCCCCATCCACACCGAGTATGATTTTTATATTAAGCCTTAGGCCTATATTTTCAATTCCCATCTGCATATAACTTGCTAATCCTGCCTTTCCTAGCTCATGAAATGGTATCACAATACAGTCAAGCTCCTGGGCTTAGACTTCAACTACATTTCAAGATACAAAGAGTTGTGCACACCTGCCACATACCAGGCACAAGAATAGGTGCTGCAATAAGGAAAAGAAAGACATGAACCCAAGAAACATAGCCTTTAATATAACAAGTATGTATATCCTACTTTGGGGGTTTTGAGAAGAGACCTAGCCCAGCTTGAGGTAGAAAGACTCAAGATGAAGGATTCCCAGAAAACAGTACTACCAAGTGATTACTACAGACAGTAAGAATTTGACTGTGTTATGGGCTGAATTGTGCCCTTGCCCTCATTTTTATCGTTGATGTCCCAATTTAAAGTGTAACCCAGATGTGACTGTGTTTGGAATTTGTAAAGTCTTAGTTAAGTCAAAATGAGGTCTTCAGACTGGGCTGTAATCACATATGATTGGTGTCCTTAGAAAAAGAGGAAATTTAAACATAAGACAAAGTGTGACGACAATGTGAAGATACAGGGAGAAGATAGCTACAAGCAAGGAACAATTCCTCCAGAAATCAGCCTTCCTGACACTGACTTTGCCCTTCCAGCCTCCAGAACTGTGTGAAAATAAATTTCTGTGGTATAGTACAGTCCTGAAGCCTGTGATAGTTTATCATTGCAGCTCTAGCAAACATTTTGTTTTTCAAGATCACAAGAGTATTATAAACAGAAGAAAGAGAATATGCAAAACAAGTCACTATTAGGATCATAACTTACTTGGGAAACGGAGTAGTTAAGCGTCACCAGGTCACAGAACGTGAAGTGGGAAGGAGACGTGTGTATTTGGGGGTTGAAGCTAGAGAGGAAATGGCAGATTATGAGAGGGCTCCTGTGCCAAATGAAATCGTTAGCATTTGGGGTGAAGACATTACGGAATTAAATAGTATTAAAGGAGGTCCCCCGCATTTCAGGTAATTTCCTCCAATCAAATTTCATCATTGGTTTGTACTTCTAGGCTTTCTCTAGTCTAGTTTTCCCTGTCAGTAACTAGTATTTTATGGAAATAATTTCCATTTGTCCAAAAGATGGAGAAATAGTTTTAAGAACTACATTAATCCTTTTCTTAAGAATTGTTTTAGCCCTATGTGCACAATTTAAATATTTATTTACTTAATTTTATATCAGTACTCTTCATTCTACTCCCTTATCCAGGCTTCATTGACTTCCTGTCTTCAGTATTTATGTTCAGAATTTGATCCACAAGTTGTCAGATTGGTGCTCCTGTAGGCTCAGTTTCGAGTATTTGCTATTTAAAGTTACTATCTCTGCTTTGCAAATCTTAATACTTATTTTGCTTCTTTTTAGTTACTGTTACCTTTCCTAAAATCTAAGATGTGGATAGTTTTTTTTCCCTTTTTCTGTCATCTTTCCTGTTATCTTTGACTCTCCTATTTGTAGAGTAGAATTAAATGTTATACTGTAATAAGTTTCAAATCCCATGAAAGCAGTGGTCATGATTGACTCGTTTATTCAATATGTTACCCGAACCTGATACGGTCCTTGACACAAGGTTGATAAAAAATTTGTTTAAAAGGAAAATTAGAAGTGTTTACTGTCTATTTACTCTTAAATATCTGTCAACAAGTCTTTATGAGTCAGTTAGTTTTAAATTAAGACAGTACATCAAAATCCCCTGGGGAACTTATTCGATATACACACGAGCTGGTACTACCTCAAACATGCTGAATCCAGGCTTGAGTAGTGGGGGAAGCAGGGGAGGTGGAGGTGATGGAGGGTTGTAGGCCTAAGAATGGTGAAAAAGCTTGCAATATGATTTTGATTTTAATTAGTAACCGATAAGAACAGAAGTTGTTATTCTTTTCATTCAATTAAGATCCCACTGACTTGAAGCAATGGATAAATATGTTAGGCAGTGAGAAAGATGTTTTGGAATAGGAGATTTTTCCTAGAACTTCTCACACATTTGTTAGCTGTTTGTAATCCCATGGTTGGATGCCACTGAGACCAATGTGTGATGTGTTTTTATCTTAAAGGAGTGGTTCTGGAGGGGTGGGACGACCACTATGAATCATAAGCTCAGGATTTTATTTTTAGTTTTCACACTTACTAGTTCTGAAGTTTCAAGAAAAATAGTTCCATAAATTTCAGTTTCCTCACCTGTAAAGTAAATATGAGCATTTGAAAAATGAATGGTTCTGATTAATTTCTGTGATTGAAGAATTTCATTCACCACTCTGACCTTGAAGGCATGTGTTTATTTAAGGGTATAAAACAAGTAACAGAAGAAAGAGGTAAAGTTTCTTGCAGTCGATTCTCAGAATCTTTGACTGTTCTTAGAAATAAAACTACTGCTAGCTGATTTCTGCTCCCGTAACTCCCATAAGATGCAATGGCTTTGGAAATGGTTTTCCAAACTGCCCCTCTAGGGCATGGCAGGTCTCTGTGCCACCTTGTTTAAGGTGTTCATTTTAGTAAGTTAATTTTTTTTTAATCACTAGGGTATTTTGTTCTGTGTCTTGATCAGAGATTTTTCTCATTCCAGGTGATTAAAACTGCTTAGGCTCATGAGCTCTAAACATGAAGAAATGATAGAGGTGACAGGAATCATGGGCACACAGGGAAGAAGTGAGTTTGGACCTTACAGGGATCTTGGATGAAGAGCTGGAAAAGACTCAGTTGCTGGGACACAGCAGCAGACACTAGTACCCTCTGTGTGGGGAACTTTGCAATGATGACTCATTTGAAACAAGGACCACTAGACACGGAAGAGCAGAGAAGATAACCCACGCAAAGCAGGGAAGGCCTGTAATATCTTGGATATTTTACTTTGAAACTGTAAACAATAACATGATGAAAACGTCTTATTTTAAAATTTACTTTGACTCTTACTTCAGAGCTAATATGAATATATTACTTCAGTTTTGGAAAATAGAAAAAAGCAAAACAGAACAAAATCCCCCACCTATTCCCATAATCTTAGTACAATTATTGTCTTTGGAGTATTTTCTTATGTTCTTCATCTCATTGGACACACCATGAAGCAGCTAATCTTGGTTAGATTTGGAGTCAGGGATCTATCCCCAAGAGTCGCTTCCGTGAGGAGGAGAGTTCCTTCTGTGATTTTCAAGGGAAGGGGGCCAGTGTTCTAACCTGCCTCAGGCTACCAGAACGACTGACAAAAGGCGATCCCCTGTTTTGCTTAATTTGGAAATTCATTCAAAGAAGGTAAGTGTTGGGCATGTTCATATAGTTATTCATTATTTATGAATAACAACCCTTGTTAGGATGGTGGTTACAGGGATGTAGACATTTGTCAAAATGTATCAGACTGTATCCTTAACATTTGTGCACTTCGTTGTGCAAATAATATTTCACTTAGTTTTATAAAATAGAAAATAATGTAAGCACAAAATGAATTAGTATGACAATGATTGTCAGGAAAAAGTAAAAACTGGAGTTACTAAAGCTGATTCATTTTGGTAAATAGAGTTAAAGAAGGATAGGATCATTGATTTTCCACTTCATACAATATATTATTTGTTTATTATGTGAAAACATTGAGAATTTTTCTTTTACATTTAAAGACAAAAAGAGGTTTTCAGGAGGAGGAAATGGGAATAGGTTTATAAGGAAGAAGAGCTTTGGGTATGAGTTTGAATGCCAGATCTTTATCCATGGCATGGAAAAAATCTTTTAGGATTAGACTTAGAGAAGTGCACTAGTGAAGGGCACCAATAAAATCTAGGGGCTACGCTGGTCCGTGACCCACTGGAGGCACCTGAATGAGGCAGCCTCCTCCTGGAGTCCACCTGTCCTTTGGGTGGGAAACTTGCATCCTCAAAGTCCAGCCACTGTGGGAGGGAGGGCGGGCATTACACTGCTCCTGTTTCGGGATTTCTTCCTCTGGGAGGCAGCAATCATGCTATGGGCGCTTCAGATCTTTGCAGTTGATGTAATCCTGTTCCCATATGGTCCCTCTCTGCCACATGTCAGGACAAGGATGAAGGTAGAGGCAGGAAGGGAATCTCATGCCTGCAGTTTGGGAATGGAGTTGGAGTCTACAATTCCTAAAGTTGGAGATGAAAGGACAGGATGATATTGCTTTACTTATGAAAATTTAAACACATAGAATAATACTCATGATGGGTTATAGTGATTTAAAAACTTCAGTGTCAAGTCAAGAAGTTTCTTTGTAGATACGAAGGAGGAAGTTTTGCTCAAATGACAGGAGTTTGAGAGGAGACAAAAATTGCAGCCTGATATTTTCGATGTTTTAGATGTTTAGGGATTCTATGTCAGGTTTACCCATTGGAGCCACATTCATAACAATAGAAAATATTCAGTATAGTATTGAGAAATTGACACTAATTCTTTAGATTAGATTGAGAAATGAAAATATTGTTTGCTTTAAAATAAGACCTCAACATAGCTTATTAACCACCAAGCTTTTAAATCCAACACACCACTAACCTTAGTGTTTATGGAGCCCTTTCCTCTAACAGGGAACAATTGAACATTATTTTTCTATGTGAGGTCTATACTGTTAAAATAACACAAAGACACCGAAGAGAAAGATTTTGGAAACTTAACAGTGTGGAAGAATTCTGCTGCCACCTAATGGAGAAATGAAATATTTTCATTCTTCTGCTTCAAAGTTACCTTTTGTCATACTGAGCTATCATATACAATTGTATTAATTATTTTAACAAACATTCTTGAAAATTATGTTTATATATTTAATTTTAAAGTTATTTGTGTGAGTCTTGCATACATACTTTGAAGGGGTGGTAATTAAGATATGGTAGAGTATGGAATTAGTTTAATTAAATTTTAATTGTAACAATTTGTTTTCTATAATTTTGTTTAAGTTAAATTTAATAAAATTTAATAATGTATTAGATGGTTTTTAAATATTGAGTTTTGTTTGGACAATTCTAGTGAACACATGAGTGAAATAAAAAATTAGTCATAGCAAGAGAGCATGCTATGGGGAAAAATGGGTTGAATATTGTATGTTAAAACGCAGAAAAGACACTGTGTGTAGTGTGTGTCTGTGCACAAGCATGTACTTGTGCATGAGTGTGTATGTACTGAAAAGCATATTTGGCCACTGAGTTAAAAATATCCAGGGTTGCTTTTTTTATGCTTGTGTATTATATTTATTTAAAACACAGGCAGGGTTTGATATTTTCCCCTTTTGCTCATTGGTAGACAATACCAGGTATTGTTAATGTTAATACATATCTTTTGGAGGCAAAGAATTTACTTAACTGCACAAACTCTAGAAAATGGAGGAAAAGAAACAAAATCACACACATCCTCCTTGCAGCATTAATTACATTAGCCTTCTGAAAACACATAATTATGTAACTTGAAGTCACTGGACCCTGTCTGCCTTTTGGTCTCTCAGTAACATATGAGAGCCGCTGGAAGCTTTGGTTGTAAAATACCTCACCTATATGTCCTTTCTGGAACATCTTTTAGATCGCAGGGATGGTCCCCCTTTGCCATTCTCTCTAACGTCCAGCTCTAGCATTTCTGATCACCCCCTGGGACTCTGAGATGCAGATGTCTCAATATATTACATTCTTTTTCCAATGGACCCATAGAAACTCTTGATCTTTCTGTTCCTTCATCTTCCACAAAAGCACCTTACCACATTGTCTAAGAATATGTGATTTCATTGTTTTAGGGCCATTGTAGAAAATAACTACAAAGTGAGAAGGCTCGAGATTGCAACTCTAGTTAATTCGGAGTTTTTCTTGATTCCCACTTGTTAAAGAATCTAGATACTTGTGGCTTCTCAGGGATGGGACTTAATGGAGGTTCCCTACTTCAAAACCTGTCCAAAATGCCTGGCTAATGCCCCTACCCTTTGAATCTCTGTCTCTTCTCTACTTCCACACACTTCCTCCCTTTACCTTGCATTCAAAACTCTTCTGTCTTCTGTTGAAAAAACTGCTGCTGCCCACAAGAAGGGCTATCACTCCTTGAGTCTGATGCTCTGGGCTTTTGTCTGGTGGACACTGACATTGACTTTCAGCTCTTAGTAATGGGAGGGGAAAATATACATTACTGTACAGATGCAGAAGCAAAAAACAAACAAAAAACCAAACTTCTTTTTCTTTATTTTGGCAATCATCTTGTTCACAAGCACCTGATTTGGCTACTCGATGAAAATAGGAATGGGTTTAAGTTTATCAATAAAGTAGCTCATGCTGTTGTTAAACTCAGTCTTCGCATATTCTCTTCTCCCTTTAACAAAACTCATAGCAGGGCTAATAAGGGACATCTGCTTTTTAATTTGTCTGTGTCTGTAGTTCTGGATTTTGGATTGTGTTCACTGGACATCAAATCCCACTTGAATACATAAATCACTTCAGTTTTTGATGACACATAACTATGTAATTTTCCTTTCACTAAGGGCATCATTGAGGGTGCCAAGTCCATTGATGCTGCATCCACTGTGTCTCAGGTAGTCCCACTTTGGACTGTTCTCTTGGTATTGATGTGGTGAAGAGTTCTTCAGTAACCTCGTCACCTCCCCAATCTAGCTGTGACTCAGTGGAAGTTGGCCCCAAACCTCTGTGCTATAAGTTAATTTCCTACTCATACAGGCCATTCACAGATGCTTATTTCATCTATCTTATCATGTGTCTTCATATTTCCACTCATCGAATCTATCTTAGTTTTGATAGGAAAGAGCAAAGAAATCTGTAAGGGAGGGAATGTCCAAAGGGAGTCAAAGGCTTCTAATCAAGAAAAGAAGATTAAGGGCCGGGGATTTAGCTCAGCGGTTCGGTGGCCTGCTTCGCAAGCACAAGGACCCGAGTTTGATCCCCGGTACCACAAAAAAAAAAAAAAAAAAAAAAAAAAAAAAAAAAAAAAAAAAAAAAAAAAAAA